GCCCGGCGTGAGTTTTAAGCCACCGGGTCCACACGAACCGCGGTCGACTATGTGGGAGTCCAGCAACATAGCCATTATGCTAACTGCTGGTTCCGAGAAAATAAGAAATAAAAATGAAAAATTTTAAACAGTTCATAGTGCAGCTAAAGATATTCTGAAAAGCATAGTTAGACAATTAAAGACCCCTTTTAAGTAATTAGTTTCAGAGAGGAGAGTAAGAAATGTGAATCTGAAGATGTTTCTAGCATTAATTTATTGGGAGAAACTATAGAATCTTGTCTAAAGCTTAAATTTTTTAAAAAAAGTTGAATGAACAAATGATTTTTGGAAGTTATTTGTACTTATATATCTCTAATTTATAAAAACTCATATCCATTAACAATAATTATTACTTATTTATTCTATGTCTTGTTTTTTCATTTTTTTTTAAGAGAGATTTTTGCTATAGGGGATGTGCACTCACCAGAGAGATAGAAAGTGACAAATCATCCTCTGGGAGGATGACCACACTGCAGTCCCTTCTCCTCCATTGTCCTCTCAGGATTTTGGGGACCCACACACTCAGCATGAGGTTTTAAAGCCACTGGATCCAGGACTCGAACCATGGTTGGCTACATGGGAGTAACCATTACTCCATCTGCTGGTCCCTTACTCTATGCTTTATTACTATGGGGAACTATCAAAGAATTTTTAAAAGCCATGACTGGCTTTTACAGAGATATCAGTTATTAATTTAGTTGTATTTCTACCTCTCTAGAGAATTTATAAGGGGGGCAGGCAGTGGTAAAACATGAGTGTTAGACTGGAGCATAATTAAGTGAAAGCTACATGGTCCTGACTATACCCATTTCAAGAAATAAGTGAATACAGAAGGCAGGCTGGAATCATAGGTAACATGTCCTGGAAAAGCAGACAATGAATTATACTGGGACAAACAGAGTAAAGCTTTCTTAAACTGAACAGGAGGGCAGTCCATAGCATGGTAATTACAGTGGCTGGATCCCGCATGGCTAACCTTGCAGTTTGAGTCTTGAACCTGGTGGTTTGCAAACATGCCAGATGTGTATACATGCCTGCACAAAGTCTTGAAAGGAGGAAGGAATGGAGGAGGAGGGATTGTGGCATGACCATCCTCCCTGTGGGGGGGAGGGTGCTTTTCATCTCTTATCTCTCTCTCTCTCTCCCTGGTTAGTACACACACTGTCTGGCAAAGTAAAAAAGAAAAGAGAGAGAGAGAAAGTGTAATTCCAAGCAAGGAATGCAGGAAGAAAGGTGTTTTAGCCTAATTTGTTGAAATACCAGGAGACATCTCATGGTAAGCACAGTGAGAAATATGACACTTGGGAGTGTGAGGGGATTTTCTAGTCCAAAAACCAAACCCAGTGTTTTGGGGGTTTGGGTTTTGTTTTGTTTTGTTTTTAAGTTTATTTATTTATTTTTTCATGAGCAAGTGGTGCAGGGAGGTGTCAAGGTCTAGATGGCCCCTCCGACAGGGCCTTGATGCTGCAATCCGCCC